TAGCCGTAAACGTAAGTTATCCTGCCGTCTTCAAAGTGCATCTGAAGGTTAGCGGCGACGCATATTTATTTAATTTTGAGGAAAACCAGACTCGAGCGCCAATATATAAATACTGTTCAGGATTCTACTGAAAAATACCTTTCCGATGGTATACTTGAGTGACTCCAGGGCGAGGAGTCATTCAAGTAAACAATTACCGATGTAGAACATGTTTGTGGTCAGTTTGGTCTTAAAAAGTGGTTTTTGGAAATTTGATGACCTACGTACTTATGTCAGATGACAGGTGCATTGTGAATTGAAGTTTGTGCGTCACGGTGAGATTGTTGCCGTTCGGCACTTTGTACTCCAACGGAGAAAGATTCCTCAACATCTCATCGATCTCCCTGTTCACCCGTTTCACTAACTCTGGTGTTTCCTTTTGGAAGAGCATTTTAAACGGGCGACAATACCGGGGTGAGGACGGGGTAGTGTTTTCCCATAGCACATCGTCATTAACTGACATGCGAAGGGGGACCAGACTGCAGAGAAACATCTGTCCGTCTTCGCCGACCTCAAGAGTGCCAACGCTTGAGTCTTGCTTGAAGATGCTCTGGCTCCCCATCCCGTCCATGCCGTACTTCAAGAAGAGAACAATGTCCGTTCCCTCCTCCAAAGATTCTAGAACATTAGGTTCGATCACTTCCATGAGTCTAGACGCTGTGTGGTCAAGCAGAGATTGTAGAGGTACCTCTGCCACTTGATTAGAGAACACCATATTCTTCGGGTAACACTTGAGCTTGGCAGCGGCAACAGTGGAGTATGGAGGAATTAGAAGAGAGCTATTACCCACAGCTGTATTACGAAGAGTTTGGTAGTCGTTCTTAGAGCAACCCATCTCTACCAAGAGGCTGAGAGCCTGCTCTGGAGTGCAGGTCTTCTCTGTTGGCTTTTCTTTCAGAATCCGATCTGCAAGGTCTGGCTGTTTAATAAGAAGACTGAAGGCCTTGGCAGACTTGTGCTTTCCTTGTGAGTGGAGAACTCTTTCCACAGCATAAAAGAGTGCATCATCTGGGGTGTGCAAGCGCAGGTCTTCTGTCTTCATATTCTTCGCCCTTTTGGATGTGCACTCATCGACATATTTTGCAGGACGACCAACGTTCTGCTTCTCAGGCAAAGCCATTGAAGGTGCTGGCTGTGATGAGGAGGCAGCCTCTTCCGTCTCCACCAACTTCACCCTTTTCGCTGTACTCACAGAATTTGCAGAGCTAACATGCTTCCTCTTCTCGGCCGTTGCGACTTGCGCTTGCGCGGGTACTTCAGCGTCCTCCTCAATTTCATTCTGAGTGTGAAGAATCGCCGTTTGTGCAGCGCAAGGATCAGACTTGCTACAAGATGGCGAAGAGATGGATTGAGAAGCAGTAGCTCTGGTAGTAATAGTTGAAGCGGGTGTTGTTGTAGACAACGAAACAGTGGAGCTATCTTGACTTTCTCTTGGTGGATCAGGCGGGGAGAAGGACGCAGATCCTCCAAGCCAAGCTGCGTACCTCTTCTCAAATCTCTTCCGATTTGAGCTGCAGGCGCCGACGAACCTCGTGAGAAGCTCATCGCAAAACCGCGAGGCGAATCTTCTGATGTCATCGCAGCTGCCTGGAATGTTGAGGTGTTCCCTGCAAAATAAAGTTAATGTGTCACTCCATTCACAACTCATAACTCCATTTAATCTGTCGTACAAAACACGACGTGACACCTCCATTGTACCGCAAACAAATAAAATTATACCTTAAAAATCTAATTAAATAAAGCTTTCTTGACGTCTTCCTCTTTGAAAACAATAAGGAAATTAAAAAGAAAAAAAAAACATCGGTTCTGAAAAGAACCTTTCTGGATTTGTGAATCCGAGAGGATCCTTTGGCCCTAAGAAGGGCCTTTTGATGCTACTTGACACTCACAGACCGAAGTTCGAAGGAAAGTAGACTTAGTTCCAAAAAGAACTTGTTTCTTGAATCGCTGAATATCGCACTGGGGCACAGAGGCACAATCGCAATAAACACAGAGAAAATCGCACGCTGGAGCACTAAGATACTCAAAAGCACACAGGGAAAACACAGCGGGGGGGGATTTCACTCTTAGTTTCTTACGAAGAGAGGTCTTCGTATTATGAAGCTTTCAGTTTGTAAGATACGAAGGATCTGGAGCAGCCATAATACGAATACCCTTGTTCGTAGTATACGAAGATAAAGGTTCATAATACGAACAACAGTTGACACATTCGTATGGTACACACAGGTCACCACTATTAAACATTTACCGTCGGAGTCATCATAGATGGATTTGTAATACGAATTGACGAATTGACTTTAGAAAATTAAAATGTTATTAAATACACAATCCAAAGTTGCCCGAAGCAAAATAAGTGGCTTCGTTTTGGCTTCGAATTGAAGCGTCCAGGCTACTATCCGGAAAAAGCCTCAGGCTGAGAAGCGTTTCAGTTCTAGCCTGGATGCTACTTTTAAAAGGAGCCGGGAGGCTTCGTTTCGTAGCCGCTTAGCTACTTTTGTGGGGTCGGCCGGCCGGGCGGCGGCGGGGTTCCAGGTAGTCGGGCTTAGCCGACCGGCTTCGTCTCGAAGCCAGCCGGCTACTTTTAAGAGGCTACTCGCTAAAACTACAAAATTGTGC